TGTCCTTTGACAAATGGGGGAACTGAGACAGAGAAGGATGAAGTCATTAGCTCCAATCCTGCAATTAGCACATGGAGGAGGCTGGATTCCGACCCAGCCCTGCCTTGTCCCAGAACCACACCCTTAGCTGCCGGGCGATGTAGCTTCACCCCCTGACTGGCCCACACAAGTAACCTTTACTACTACTACGCAGATAAACACTATGCAACATTAATGGTCATCGGCTATCTTTGAAGACAGGTAGGAAGGAGGTTGCTACTAAACATGGCTGTTCTCCCATCAGGAGACCTCTGTTCAATAATTTAGGCTGAAGAAAATTCTTGACTGACTTATTTTCAAAGGCCCAAATTCAAGTTTTCAACCATAAACCTTCCAGCGTCTGGACTCAGATTCTGAAATGTAAGGTATGCTCTAATTCTCCTTATGTTTAATACCAAGGAACTGGAACCTAGATGCCCTTGGTATCCAGATACTTCAGGTAAGATGCTGGCTGCCGCAGTTACCATCTTCCTCTCAAACTCCCCCCAGTGTCACTGTGTTCATGAAGGCCGCTTCTCTGGGAGGCAGCCAGGCAAACAGCCACCAGAAGGATATGTGGTACTGAGAAGCTCAATATTAGATAAGTGGTCAGACTTGTTTATTTGAATTCCTCCGTATGGCTGGTCATCTGATCTTCCTGCAAAGGAAGCCTAGAATAATCCACTTTAAGAAGGTCAGGGAGGAACAAAGGGCATCGTGGAGAAGAAGACAGGAAAGAGGAACCACGCAGCAGGAGAAAAAGAATAGAAAAGCCAGAGGATGAAGTACTGTCCATAGGAATTTCCTAAACCATTACCTGAGCTTATCTCTGATTAGGGTTCATTGGCGACACTACAATGGAATGAAAAAATATATACACACATCCATGCATCAGACTCTATCCCTCTCTGGATGGTCAGCTTGGAATACACAAGAATTCAGCCTGAGTTACCCAATAAAGGGACAGCTGACCAGCCATGGCCAGACTACACCTGTGGCAGACACGTATGGGATAGGAGATGAGAGGTTGGGGCCACTAAGCCACAGTCATTATTCCCTGTCATCTGATACCATGCACCCTTCAGGTTATATTTAGGCTCCCCATGTGAGAGTTTTAGCCAGTTACTATCATCATAGCAGTAGCAATAGTTATGAGATGATAAATAATAACAGTAATAATAACAATTGAAATATTTTTAGCATGGAAAATATACCATTTTGAAATACTAATTTCTCAGCAAAATGAATACATTTCTAACTTAAAAAAATACATTCCACCTTCCTCATTCAACACATAATCAATTTCCTAACCTCCTTCACCGGTGACCGCTAGCCCCGTGGTCTCTCTCTCTCTCTCTCTCTCACACACACACACACACACGCACACACACGCACACACACACAACCTCACCCTATCCCTTATACTTCATGTACAGACTGGTGGAGAGGAAAAAAAATTTCCTCTACCCTTTTAGGTGTTTTGACCGGTATATTGACATAAAAGAGATTAACGAAGAAAAACAAATTTAATTATGTATGTATGGGAGCCCCATAAGAATATGAGACCCAAGGACATGTTGGGTCAGTTGAGGCTTATATGCTATCCTGACCTAGGGAATGGGATAGGGGCTTAGGGCTTCAAAGGGGAGGAGGGTGATTCACAGGACAACAAGGAGAGATGATGCATAATTAGATGTTCGCCCTGCCATACAGATAAGTATTCCAGAGAAAAAGTAATCTCTGGTAATAGCTCTTTCTCTGAGCCAGGACCAGTATCCAAATTATTTTAGGCCATAACAACTTTACCTTGTTTATTATGCTTTTCTTGGTAACTTCCCATAATTGACTCCCTACTCCTAACATCTTTTGTCTTTAGCTGAACATGATATTTAAGGTGATGGCTTTGGCCATTTTAGGGAGTTACTCAGAGTTCCTGGGTCTCTCCCATGTATACACAGGAAGCATACACACCATTAAGCTTTTGTTTGTTTTTCTTCTGTTAATCTGTCTTATATCAATTTAATTAGTCAAAAACCTAGACAGGTAGAAGGAATTTGTTGTTTTTTTTCCTCACCACACTACATGCTCTATAGGCAATGATCAACTTAAAGAACAGTGAAATAAACAAGGGTTCTGAGCTCAGACTTAACCAGATTCAAATTCCAACTTTCCCTTAGCAAATTGTGTGACTGTAACTATTCTGAGTTTGAGTGTCCTCGATCTGAACCACTCTGGATAAAGTACGGTGCCTCACAAACACGCGACATGTTACGTATATGGAGAGTGACCCTACTATCGACTAAAAAATAGGGAAATTTTTTACATGTCAATTATACCTCAAGAAAACTGTAGGAAATAAATTTTAAATAAGTAAGTAAAGGGGCACCTGGGTGGCTCAGTCAGTTAAGCATCCAACTGTTGATTTCAGCTCAGGTCATGGTCCCATGGTTCATGGGATGGAACCCTGCATTGGGATTTGTGCTGAGAAGAGCACAGCCTGCTTGGGATTCTCTCTCTCCCTCTCTCTCTGCCCCTTCCCTACTCACTGTCTCTATCATAATAAATAAACAAATTTTAAAATAAGTAAGTAAATAAGTAAATAAATAAATAGGGGGTACTTTCTATATATGCTTGAAATGAAAGGAGTCATCCTTTTCTTAACTACTAAAGAATTTATCTACATCAACCAGGCCTCCTGTTCTCTCCTCTTCTGGGTCTGCCACCTTTTGGCAACATGAGCAAAAAGCAAACATACAGCCTATACACTCATTTCATATTTTTAGGCACTTTAATAAAGATTTCAGAGAAAACAGGTTTGAATTTAAACCGACAAATCGATGGGGCGCCTGGGTGGCTCAGTCGGTTAAGCCTCCAACTTCAGCTCGGGTCATGATCTCGCAGTTCGTGGGTTCGAGCCCCGCGTCCGGCTCTGTGCTGACAGCTTGGGGCTGGAGCCTGGAGCCTGCTTTGGATTTTGTGTCTCCCTCTCTCTCTGCCCCTCCCCTGTTCACACT